CATCTGCATTCTCCACATTTGGTGCATCTAAACTTGAATTCTTTCTCAGTGTTTCCAAATCACACTCTCTCCCTGCCTCTCTACTTTGTCAGAATATCGGTTAAAAAAATAAAACGGGAGCTTTTCCTGCCCAGAATTGCTCTGGTTTTCCGTCTGGCCGTTCCCGACAGAGCGTATTCCTCCCCAGCCTCACTGCCATTGTCGCATCACAGTAAGCGTATTCGTCATGGACTTATTTCTATTGCATAACCGTGTCTCCGGGGCAGCCTGCTCATAGAGGATTAGAGTCTGCAGCGAGTGGATAAGAAGCTATCTCAGTTAATTACAATAGAGCCAAATGGGGAAAGTTTTGAAGTTCTCGAACCAGAGACATCAAAGCTAAGCAACAGAGTCAGAAATATACTTATGTAAATACTATTCTGAATGTGTTTGCCCTCTCAATGCTTGGTTAATTTTTCTGGAGGTGCATGTTGGAATCCTTGCCGTCTTTCTGCGGAAATGGAGAGATGTTGTCATGGTTTGGAATGAAGGAAGAACCAAAATGAAGGAAGGTAAAAAAAAATTGAATGGAAGTGAATAAAAGTCTAGAGGAAAAATAAGCTTGAATATTCCAAGAGGAACCTGGAAAACAACAGTCAAAGACAAAAGACCAGCAACATCTGAGGAGGAGCACATGTACAGGTAAACACAGAGACACAGGTGAAAAAAATTGAGTTTGTTTCACCACAAACTCAATGATACCACAGAGACCAGAGAGAGAGACCAGAGCGAGACCAGAAAAGAGACCCCTGAGACCAGAGAGAGACCACAGAGACCAGAGAGAGAGACCACAGAGACCAGAGAGAGAGAAGAGAGAGACCACAGAGAGAGACCAGAGAGAGACACTGGAAATTGACCAGAGAGGTACCAGAGAGAGACCAGAGCAAGTCCAGAGTAAGACCGGACAGAGGGCAGAGAGAGACCAGAGTGACTAGAGAGAGAGACCAGAGAGAGACCAGAGAGAGACCAGAGAGAGACCAGGATGAGGCCAGAGAGAGACCAGAGAGAAACCAGAGAGGGACCAGAGAGAAACCAGAGTGAGACCAGAGAGAGACCAGAGAGAGACCAGGGTGAGGCCAGAGAGAGACCAGAGAGAGACCAGAGAGAGACCAGGGTGAGGCCAGAGAGAGACCAGAGAGAGACCAGAGAGAGACCAGAGAAAGACCGGAGAGACCAGAGAGAGACCAGAGAGAGACCAGAGAGAGACCAGGGTGAGGCCAGAGAGAGACCAGAGAGAGACCAGAGAGAGACCAGAGAAAGACCGGAGAGACCACAGAGAGACCAGAGAGAGACCAGAGAAAGACCGGAGAGACCACAGAAAGACCAGAGAGTAGTGTTCCGCTCTGAAAGAGGACTATGAGCTGCCTGTTCTGAAGGTTCTATGAATCCAGACTCTAAACTAATCAATTCATATTGTATAGCACTAAATCACAACAGTAGGTATCATGGAGGCAGGCCCGTGTTTTTAATTCACCATCACAGATCAGAGATGCATGGAATGTTTTGGTTTCACATTTTAACTTGAATTACAGAAATACATGTTTACCTTCACCTGTATTATGGACTGGGCTATTTATTCTTTAGCATTAACAAGATTATATATATGAAACAGTGGTTTGGAAATGTTCTTCCGAGGAAATTATTGTATATGTGTACGGTTACGTAAGGGATAACGTACAGTATATTACGCTTCGCCCTGTCGGTACTTATTTTCCGATAATGACCTGCGTAATATACGTTATCCCGCTTATTATATGGCTTTATACCAACAGAACATACAACATAATCTTCAGTCCACTTTTAGGAATGCCGAAAGGTTTATTTAAAATAAGAAAGAAAATAAAATAGTTCCCAAAGGCTTTCCCGTGGCTATGCTAGCAACAGTTAGGCTAGCAACTTCCAAACTAGAAGTCTCTGGAACTGCATGAAAACTGAACAAAGAATTCTGAAAATCAGCGGTGAGTGACCCAAACATAAACATAACCTAAATCCATATTTCGATCCTCTGCAAATGTGTCCTAAAATGTCCCGCAATCTACTTCCGGGTTTTTCGGGATCGCCTTTTCTCGCATTACATCAGTGTTTTTGTCATAAAAACGTAAACGGAAAATTCTGAAAACTTTCGTGCACTTGTATTAATAATGTATTTGTATAATGTACTCTCCGATTAACATTTAATTGCGTTGATTGATTGGCATTTGCGTTTATTGAGCGGCCGGAACTACTTCCGGGTTTTTCACGATCGCTTTTTGACGCAGAGAAATAGTATTTTTGTCATGAAGACAAGACCAGAAAATTCTGAAAATCTCTGAGCACGTGTGTGAAGAATGTATATGTATAAGTATTCTCCGATTAACATTTAAGTGTGTTGATTGAGCGTGGCTAGCTCAGGAGTGGCCGGAACTACTTGCGGAGTTATCCACGCATTTGAAAGACAAGCAGAGAGTGCGTTGCCAAAGGGCAGCGGTCATTATTGTTTTGAGAGGTCCGTTATAGAAAATAATGACCGGTAGAACGTTTTGAAATTACATTCAAATCAATGGAGCATTCTACTGCTGCTGTGAGGAGCCGTATAATAATAATAAATAAATGTACACTTTGATTGTACTACAGCTCTTGGTTGTTTTCCCTGTTTTATTTTTGCTCTTGGCCTGTGCAAAAATTCCACAACAAAACCAATTACATTAAATTTTCAGTTGCATTTAGATGTTTTTTTTTCTCAATACTGACTTGAACAGTTCTCTTTCCACACACACATCTAAATATCAGTGAGGAATAACTCAAAAGAAGAGACCATTGTGGAAAGCAGTTCTCTATAGTCAGTGAGTAATAGATTTTCGGATCTTTTGTTGAGGAATTGATAGCTATAAAGCCCTCCGAGACGACTGCTGTTGTGATTCAGGGCTACACACAAACACATTGAATGAACCACATGCAGTAATGAAGGCCTTGGACACACACACATTTCTCATATTTTAGGTTTATTTTGGTTGCAATGACCAGAAACAATGACCTGCGATGCTGACAGTGGGCTGTGGTGGACCGTTGAGGAAAAATGAATCCTATTTTTGACAACACCGTTTTGAACTATACACGTATCACTTTTTGGATATTGACATAGAAAAAATAGCTGTACAAAAGGTCTAATACGTCATATATTTTTCCTTTACTACAGCAATGACAATCGAGCTTAATGGCAAAACATTCGTCGATGCCTCAAAACAGCACTGTAATGCAGAAAAGGTCTTTCAAGTGTGCAAAAAACATTGACGATTTGTTCATAGCTGTGCAAAAGTAGCAGCATTTCAAGTCCACAGCGCGTTGCCATGGAGATCAATGACACCGGCGGATACATTCTTCTTTCGGTTTTCACTTTCAGCTCATCAAAATCAATAATGTTACGCATGTGCAAATCATAAACGTTGGACATTCCCTGTTCCCGGACACGAAAAAACCAACAAATGAGAACATTCACAAAACTTTTTTTTTTTTTTTTTTTAGAATAGAACCAGCTTTTGTTTTTGCTTGGATGAAAATGTAACAACCACGTCAGAAAAAATACAGGCAAATAAATAATTGTTCAAAATGTAATTATATACATGTAAACCATAACAAGTCAGGCCGGAGATATTCAACAGTTGGCACATTTAGCTTATTTTACAAAATGTACATAGACTTAAAAGCCTCATTCACATCACTGCGGCAACATTCCGCTGGTGTTTGCAGCTGTTTCTAAATATATCCACTTGTTTTGAAACATTTCCGTGTCGTTCCGAAATAGGCACGAACTAAAAGAGTAAAAATCCTTTGAATACATATTGTTTTGCAGATCACATTCCTTGATGGGAGTCATGCAGCCACGTGGATATGAAATGTGATCGCTTTTAAAAATCAACCCGGTCTCAACGTTCCGGTAACACAACACGACATTGAGAGGAAATGCATACCGTTTTTGGCATTATCATTTTTGGTACTTCTGGTTTAATGAGGGAAAAGGTATGTTTCTGGTCTCTTTTCAAAGTTATTGCATCTACTCAAAGTTATACATTCTTGGTAATGACCTCAACCCTTCTTGGTATTATAATTTGGAAATAGATCTGTATACATACATAATAACATCATGGCCAAAGATAGGGAATATACTGTAGATGCAACTAGTACAGCAAAAGTACTGCATGTTGGCGTCCTTCAATTGTTGCTATGAACCAAAATATTACCAACCCGTTTTCATCCTTCAATACCCGTCAAACCAAGTATCTAGTCTGTGTCTGTGTTGATCTGGACCTCGTGTCTGCAATAAGGTTATCTATCTATCTATGTAGTATTCAACATATTTGTCATTAACAGTTATTATGTAATTTGGCCTGATGGGAAGTCTCCACAGTATAAGTACAAACCATTTGAATAAGTACTTCGCTTATGGGGTTAATTATCCAAAATACCACGCATTTCCCCTCAAACGTCATGAATGTCTTAACCCCCATAAAAAAACAACTGGGTCGAGACCGGGTAAACTATTTAGTCTGTATTTTTAGAGGCTCTCTTATAGCTCTACTTACGAAGCTTAGGCTTACAACAGTATAACGGGCTGGCTCTGAGCCACGCTTCACCGCTGCGTGGGGAAGTGACTGCATAGGTCAGCACCACGGACAGCTCCTCCCTCTCATCAGCACGGATATTCTGACTACTTCTCATTAGGATGTGAGGAGTGGGCAAAGCTTGAATAAGAGTGACAGAGTGATAGTTTTTTTGTAGAAAGAAGCTGCATTTGTGAGGTTGTATCCCTGCGTCATTTCGATGCAAGCCTAATGTTAAGTCCATCAAAACGCGCCCTTTCCACGTTCAAAAATACCACTTGTGCGACCTTTAAACATGTCATAGGCTTATGGGAAAAGATGAGAAAGAGCAGTCTGTGTGTGTGTGTGTGCGTGTCCATGTGTGTGTCCAGTTCCATTCCACATTCAGCGATCCAAACTGGCCTCGTTCGTCTCGCGTTGGTTTTTCAGCTCCTGGAAAACCTCCGTGAAGAAATGCGGGTCCGCGTTGAGCTTCAGCATTTTGGCACTCATCCGGTTGATTATGCGCAAGGACGTCTCCCAGAACACGTCCTTGTTGGCCTCGCTCATGAACGGCTTGAGCGGGTAGGAGATCTCGTTGCCCATGTAGGAATACGCCAGGTAGAGGCAAGTCTGGAACGTGCCCTGCAGAACCACCGCGCTCTCCACGCAGTCTTCTATGGCGTCTTCGCACAGTAGATACACGAATACCACGTTGGCTGGTGTAATGAAGCCCTGATCCTGCCAGCCCTGAAGCAACAGTGTCCGATCGATGTTGCGAAACCACATTATCACTTCCCCCGTGTTCAACTCCTTCAATTTGTAGCATCTGCGACATATAAAGTCTGCCAGGCATCGCAGTAGCTCCCCCGTGGAGGCTTGGATGACAATGCGTCTTGGAGACAGCAATGACAGCGAGCTTGGCTGGGTCTGCACGCAACCAAGTCTCCCCTTCTGCTCGCTGGTCACGGGAACTGTGGGCACTGGGACCGGGATGGGAGCTTTGGATTTCTTCTCCTCGTTCTGGTGAGTCTTTCTCGCGTTCTCATTGTTCAGATGCGCCACCTGACTGCATGGCACTACCGAGCTCGGAGTCACCTTCTTGGCGTTTTTCTTCGCCGGGTTGGCCACCAGCTTTTTCCACGACAAAGACACAAACATGGAGTGCTTCTTGAGGCTCTTGTCGCCTTTGCTGTGCGCGTCCCCCGACTCCACGTCCATGATGGAAGCCTTCTTGGAGGCCGGGGAGATGGACAGTACGGTTCCCATGCTGGCGCTGTGGAAGTCGGTGCGTGTGGAGGCGGCTGGTGCCTACTACTGCTGCTGCTGGTGCTGGTGGGGGGCGAGCGTGAGGTGAGAAAAGGCGTTGGAGGAGGTTTTTTAGTCACGATGTGGGCTCCATGGATTTTGCACGCTGTAGGCTTCTCCTCGCCTCGACGGTGGATGTGAAAATCTGGGAATAAATAGCCAACCGCCTGCAACGAAGAGACGATGCGACAAAATCCCAATGATGGCAAGGTCCAAACACGGATTAGCTGTGCTGCGTAAATCCTCACTTTGAGCGAACCAGCAGGGGCGGTGCGTGAGTGACAGCGTGTGTAGCCAATAGCAGGTCTAGAATGAGAGCCAATCAGAGGAGGCGGTGTTTTTAGCGCTCCTGCCACTCAGCTCAGGGCCATAGACAAACTCAGAGCACACTCAGGTAAAGAGCTCTACACTGCAAAAAGATATAGAATATGAGGTAATAATTGCTTGAATTAAGTGTTTTTTATTTTAATTTGAAACAACTTAGATTCTGAGGAGCACATGGACTGGCCTCCTGCTAATCCTAGAGTCAGAACTAAACATGGGGAGGCAGCATTTCAGATCTATGCAGCTAAAATCTGGAACAATCTTCCTGAAAATTTGAGATAGACCCCATCTTTGACAATGTTTAGATCCGGGTTAAAAACAGTTCTGTTCCGCTGCTACAACTGAGGGTTTATTTTGTATTTTTATTAATGTACTGAATTTATTTATGTGACTTTCTCCATCTTGTTTTGCTCAGCACTTTGAGTTGCCTTGTGTATGAACTGTGCTATACACTATACACTTGCACCTTAAAACAAGATTCACCAATAAGACAGAGCCCTTTAGTTAAAGGCACACCGTGTAACTCTTGGCCACTAGGGGCGCTAGACCTGCAACTTTCACGTTTAGCGCCCCTAGTGGCCACAAGCAACTCAGCACTGTCGCAAAAGTCAACAAACAGTCAGCCGGTGTCTTTTGAGTGTGTATTCAGACAGCATGCACTGGTGTGTGTGTTCAAACTGTAGAGACATGCCTACAGATATTGAGAGACTCTGCTGTGGTCAGCCTCCAGACCGCTGCATTAGTAATCTACCACACATGGACTTCTATATCCTGGATGAGGGAGTTCTGCGTCTAGCTCGTGCTGCGTGGAATGACATCTTTGCAGTCGATGACATCCAGGAACCAGGTGAAGAGCAGCGCTCATACAGACATGCAGCTTACAGCACGATCCATTTCGCGTTTCCTCTTTTTAGCCTCCTCCGAAGGTTTAAAATTTTTCCTTGCCTCAGCCATGACCAGGAGTCGAGCAGGTGAAAAATGAGTAGCAAAAGCCTTAGCTCCATGAGTATATCAGCGCCTGTAGCCGTAAAGCAAGTCTTTCTTCCAAGTCACGTGACCTGGTGGCAGACGGTCCGTCTGCTCGAAACTTACATGGGCGGTATTTCAAGAGGGCAGCCCCGCTCGGAGCATTGCAAGTGTCAAGCGCTGTATATTGGCCCAAGTATTCATATAAAATAACTCATATGTGTCAACTCTTTAGGTCACAAAGTCCGCGGTGTGCCTTTAAGAACTGTTGCTTTATTTTCTCATACCAAGGGAGACATTTATTGCATATTTTAAAAACAAGATCATTTTGCTTTGTCCCATTGAAAAATCTTGTTTTAAGGCTCAGTCAGAATGTGGTCAAATTACGATTAATCTTTCCTTGTTTTTGGTCACTTTTTGCAGTGTACAACTCACGTCCCTGTCGTCCTCTGTCGCTTGGACGTGCCCGGGCGTTGTCAGCACATCAGCTTTCTTTTGGCCGTTTCCTTGATTGATTTAATCAGGGTAATGTGTATCCGCGAGTCCGCCGTGCAGTTCACAGCCAGGGGTCGACAACAAAGCAGATGCATGTTCTAAAGCTATAATCAGGTGAATGAATGGCTGTACATGGATCTATAATAAGGTACAAACACACGCAACTCTTACAGAACAAGCTGCACGTCAAAAAGTTAACCCTTTAGACGCTGGGATTGATAATAGTTATAGGGAGAGATTTTGTTCTTGCTTCTTTTTTTATGCCAAGTATGAAATATAGGGAAATTTATAGATTTCTTTTGTATTCTTTATTGGAAGCCTCTAGAATGAAAGTGACAAATTGCATTATACCGAAACAAACCAAATCTATATTTACATGAAATTCATACATATAAGGAATAGAAGGAAGTGGAGAGACAATAATCCTGATGTTGGGAGTGTATACTTAAGATAAGAAATCCTTCATTCGTCCTTGTAGACCCAAAACAAATTTTCTTTTGGAGACAGTAAAGCTGAACCTTGAACCTTAAAGGATGCCTCTTGAGGACCATACAGGAGAAGACCCAGGACACGGTGGAAGGAGACTCTCTTTCAGCTGGTCTGGGCCTGGGCACGCCTCAGGATTCCCCTCAAAGAGCTGGAGGATGTGTGTGTGGAGAGGGACATTCTCTGAACGCGACCATGGCAACGGATAAAGCAAATGAAAAAGGATAGATTTCATTTTGTTTTTATCCATATAAAAAAAGGGTGTCTTAAAGCCTGAAGGATATGAATGAATGAATTAATCCATTGATGATGAATGAATGTCACCGTCCAATTAGGTGATCCCATGATCCTGCCCAGAGCTCAGTGTCTGAGCCGTGCTTTAGCCTTGTGGAAATAGTACCACACTAAACCTACACTAACTTTAGATCTGGCTCGATCATGGACTTGAACTGTGAGATTAAGGCTCAATAAAAGCAAGAAAAGATTTAGTTTTATTTGTCTGTTGTTTGAGGGGGAAAGGTAGAAGATGTATTTGTATAATATAATTCAGACTGTAGCGCAATGTGCTTGACACCAGGACAGACATGGCTGTAAATCACATTCACATTTTTTATAGTTAGATACACATTAAAAAGTCTAGGACTCATTGGGCACAAGAAATTAAGAAATTCATCAAAATGTCAGACTCTGGAAGACCCTATGAAAATGTTTTAAAGTCAGTCCATGCCTGAATTCTGGAGCCAAGAGCTTTAGTGTAAGTGTATTATACAGGACTCAGAAATGATCATTTAGACAGGATTTACTTGTTTGTGCCGGAAGTTCTTGTTTAAAGCTCAAAAAGTCAACGTTGCAGAAGGCATCTCCTTTAAAGGGAAGCATGAAGAGAGCGCTGCAATATCAGAGCCTACCTTAAGGGAAATCATTATATGTTTCCGGTCCTGCTCCTAGTTCTGATCTTGCCCTGGTCCTGCTCCTAGTTCCGGTCTTGTCATGGTCCTGATATTTGTCCTGGCCCTGATCCTAGTCTTAGTCCTGGTCCTAGCCCTGCTCCTAGCCCTGGTCCATATCCTAGTCCTGGTCCCAGCTCTGATCATGCATTTGCCTTTGTATTTTCTGCCACACTAGCCACCACAAATACATTCTGAAATTCGAATTGAAATGACTTTTTTCTAATTCACATTTAGACTTTTTTTTCTCCCAAATGTGCTGCTCCATTCCCTGGATTCTGAATTATAGTCCCAGTCATTATTTATGGAGATGGCGGTGAGAGTGAAACGGTGAAGGAGTGATTAATCTGCTCCTTTACACACAACTACAAATCCTATGAATGGGTTCGTCTGCATGAAAAGCTCCTCCTCCTCTCGTGCTAAAGGGTGATGGGATTTGAACCATTTGATAACGATGATGCAAAATCCTTTAGAGGTTTGGTTCTGATTCAAATTGAGAGTAATCTCGAACCTACGATCAAGACTGGAGTGTCTTTCACCTCCACTTTACCACCGCCCACTCTCTTTTGTTCACATGAGTCATCGATACAGAAGATGGTGCAGAAAAGTGACCTACATTTTTTTTGTAAACAAGATAAAAACAAATGCTTATGTAATATCTTGGACTAGGACGGAGCAGGGCTAGGACTAGGACAAGAATAAGGATCAGGACTGGGAGCAGGACTAGGACCAAGACTAGAATAAGGAGCAGGACAAGGAGCAGGGCTAGGACCAGCCCCAGGACAAAGATCAACATTAGGAGCAGGGCTAGGACCAGGACCAGAACTTGGATCAGGACTAGGATTGGAGCAGGGCTAGGGACCAGGACCAAAACAAGGATCAGGACCAGGAGCAGGGCTTGGGACCAGGACCAAAAGAAAGATCAGGACTAGGAGCAGAGCTAGGAACAGGACCAGAACATGGATCAGGACCAGAACATGGATCAGGACTAGGATTGGAGCAGGGCTAGGGACCAGGACCAAAACAAGGATCAGGACCAGGAGCAGGGCTTGGGACCAGGACCAGAACAAGGAGCAGGACTAGGAGCAGGGCTAAGACCAGGGCTAAAACCAGGACCAGAACATGAATCAAGACTAGGAGCAGGGCTAGGACCAGGACCAGGACCAAAACAAGGATCAGGACCAGGAGCAGGGCTTTGGACTAGGACCAGAGCAAGGAGCAGGACTAGGAGCAGGGCTAAGACCAGGGCTAAGACCAGGACCAGAACATGGATCAGGACTGGGAGCAGGGCTAGGACCAGCCCCAGAACAAGGATCAGGACTAGGATTGGAGCAGGGCTAGGGACCAGGACCAAAACAAGGATCAGGACCAGGAGCAGGGCTAGGGACCAGGACCAGAACAAGGAGCAGGACTAGGAGCAAGGCTAGGACCAGGACCAGGACCAGAACATGGATCAAGGTCTCTGACTTTGGCGGAACAATGGGAGATCTACTAAACTGAGTCCTCCTTCTGCCACACACCTGCACCTGAGCACATAAGTAAGTCATATTTATTTGTGTACCTTTTACAGACACAGTCACATACTGTAGCACTTTACAATTCTATCCATCTCTTGTCTTCCCCTTTGTCCATTTCTGGGCCGGGGGTTGGCAATCAGCAGAGCACAGAGCACCAGCCGCTCACTTGGGATGGCTGCTCTGTCACAGCCTTCATCTTTCAGCAGGGGCTTCAGGCAAAGTGGGG